TCTTTAAAATTTAGCAAAGAATAGATTCTTTAATGAAAGAAATTTGGGCTGGGTAAAGGGTCCAGTGGGTGAGCATCTGCTGTGCAAACTTGAGGGCATGAATTCAAATCCCCAGAACCTACATAGACCAATGTGGGGGGAGGGAGTGGGAACTGGGATTGGTGTGTAAAATGAAAAAAGACAGTTTGTTTCCTTTAAAAAAAATAAAAATAAGAGAGGAGGCTGGAGAGATGGCTCAGGGGTTAAGGACACTGACTGCTCTTCCAAAGGACCCGAGTTCAGTTCCCAGCACCCACATGGCAGTTTACGACTGTAACTCCAGTAACAAGATATATGACACCTTCACACAGACATATATGCAGGCAAAACCCCAGTGTACATTAAAAATAAATAAATAAATCTAAAAAAGAAAAGAAATTTTAAAAAAGAAAATGTATATCAAAACAAAACAAAACAAACAAACCGAACCCCAGATGTGGACGCCTGCTTCTGTAATCTCCCACTCTGATGGTGAGATGGCAGATGAAGACAGGAAACGCACTAATCTGGCTACACAGCTGTGAACAACAAATGCCGTGCCACAAATGAGGTAGCAGGTGAGCACAGAGCCCAAGGTTGTCCTCTGACTCCAACATGCACTGTGGCATGCTGAAAGAAATGAAACTGGTCAGAGTGAGTGACCTAACTGCTTTCCGCCTGAACCACACTGCTTAGGCTAGGCTATTTTGAAAAACACTTCATACGTGACAAGGGCCATCGCAGGAGCCAATAACAATTGGGAGAGCGTTGCTTCAAGGATAGCCAAGAACTGACTAATCAAAAATATGTCCATAGTATACTTCATCCATCTATATACCCAAGGACAGATAGGACGGGAGCCAACTGAGAACATACTTAGGTCCATACTTCATTTGCATAATGATATCATGCTTATTGAACTTCAAGCCCTTTTGTAATCGTTTGCTGTCCTCAATTAGGTCCGGGCATGCAAATTAGGTGAGAACTGGTGGTCCTGCGAGATTGACTATAAAAACTCATGTATCTCTGGAAGACAGTTCCTTCTGCCCTCACTGTGTTGAGTGTGCTGGACGAGTTCCTTGCCTAGGCTCGTACAATAAACCTTGCTATAATCCCAGCTATTTGGGAGTCTGAGGCAGGAGATCAGAAATTCAAGGCCTGCTTGAGTACCTTAGCAAAACACTGTCTCAAATGTGAATGGCATCTGGCTTCTCTCACCTACCTGCTTATGGGGCTAGCTGCAGCAACTGCTGGTCAGGACCAAGAGATCATCTTCAGACATTATGCGAAGGGGAAAAAGAGACGGGTGATCTGTCTGCCTATTGGTTCAGTCAGCCATTGGTTCATTCTTTTGTCCATCCATTCACTCATTCTGCGAATGACTAATACTACCCCTTCAGGACTGCATTCTCTGCAGGACATCGAGAAGACAGACCAGAGCCTGGGGCTTGAGAAACAACTGGTAAAGCTATGCAAGCATGAGGACCTGAGCTTAGAACTCGTGAAAAGCCAGGGATGCATGCATTTGTAATCTCAGTGCTGAGAAGGCAGAGGCAGGCAGATCCCTGAAGCTCAGTGACCACCTAACTAGTCTAGCCTACTTGGTGAATTCCCCAGGCCACTGAGAGACGGTAGATGGTTCCTACGGACACCAGTCGAGGTTTACCTCCGGCTTTCACACACGAGCATGCACAAACACCTCTGCACACTCGCCTCCCCACCCCCACAGGGAAACAGTCCCTGCCCTCTGCAACATACTCTTAGAGGTTCCTATTATTTCAACACATGTTTATTAAGTACTGTTGAAGAAATAGGAAAGAAACAAGTTCTCATACTGACGTGGTTTACAAGACAGTGGTGGGCAAAGCAGATAATTAGCACACAATTGCACAGGGCATTAATTAATCACACTGTGATTACTACAAAGAAGTACAGAGGACCAAGAGAGTCAATTACAAAGGACAGTGTTGAAGAGTCAATTACCAGGAACAGGGTTGGTGAATCAATGGGAAAACTAGAGAGCAGACTCAGAAGAAAATTCAGTGGAGAAAAATGTCAGAGGTAGCACTTGGGGCCCAGTGGATGTCACAGGGCTCAGGTCCAGGAGAGGTAAGACCCACTCGGAAGCTGCACCTCCCTGGAAGCTGGGCAGGGTGATGTAGGAGCAAAGGAAAGAATAAAGCCATCTCTCTGGGAAGGGAGAAATGGCTAGGTGGAAATAGTTGGAGGTCCTGAAGCCATCCTTACTGGTGAGGGAGAATTATCTGTATTCTGTCAATCATGTATTTTAATAAAACGCTGATTGGCCAGGCAGGAAGTATAGGTGGGTCAACCAGACAGGAAGTAGAGGCAGGGCAATGAGAACAGGAATATTCTGGGAAGCAGGAAGCTCCCTCTGCCAGTCCTACCCAGATCACCAAAGAAGCAACATGTGAGCTGACAGCTGAAAAAAGTACCAAGCCATATGTCTAACACAGAGTAGAATTATGGGTTACCGTAAGATGTAAGAATTAGTTAATAAGAAGACTGAGCTAATGGGCCAATCAGTTTATAATCTTAGGGAGTCTTGTGAGTGATTTTCTTTGGGACTTGCCGGTTGTGGGGTACCGGGTGAGACAGATACCCCAACAAGCCGGCCGTCATGTTACACCTTACCAGCTTGCTTCTTGCTGATCAAGAATATTTGAGGCCAGGATCCAGTTCCTTGCCTCAAGATCAGAAGCTCCAGTGTAGCTGAGTGGCACTTTGGTTCTGGACCTGCCTCTTTAACTATAACATCCTCTACTGCCAATATCCAACATCCTCTACTGGGAGGTGTGAGCGGGGCAGGGGGCTCTACCAATTACACACCTAGCCTCATTACCATTGAACAGAAGAGAAGCCCGAGGTCAGAATCACTACCTGCCTCCATCATGCAGACAGTGGGAGTGGGTGCCAGAGGTAGGTCTCCAAAGAAGAGAACGCTATGGACGTGTGTGTGTGTGTGTGTGTGTGTGTGTGTGTGTGTGTGTGTGTGTGTGT